ACTGGACCAGTGGTGGCATCAAAGACCGAATTGAGAGAAGCCCAAGAAGGGGAAGAAATGGGAAGAGAGTAATATTTTTTGTTACAGAAGCTGGAGAACTTCCTCCCAGAGGGGGACATTTGGGCAGAAAAAGAGCCGTATCTGTGTAGGCCTATGTGGCTGCTACATTAAGTCATCAAGTCATCTTGACAGAAAACCATATGACCCTCATCAACTGGTACCCCATACGTGAAGATGATATGCCTTAGCGACTCTGCTGTCCCTGGCTGGACACAGATTCCCTTAGCTTCACACGTGACTCATGTTTACAGAGGCATCGGGGGACACTGTGTTTGCACTGTGATGCAGCCACAATGTGTACCATGGAAAAAATGAGAAGGACATCCCAGCAGGACGCCAGGGCGCAGTTGAGGAAATCCTGTGATGTGTCATCCATGCAACACTAGAAGGTCACCAGAGCACCGGGCAGGCTGAAAAGTGGCTCCCATTCTTGAAATGTCACCAGGGCTGAAACACAGTTGTCTCCTGGGTCCAGATCAGGTTTCCAGCATCTCAGAGGTGGAATGGGCAGCCAAGCAAGAACAGGTTTCAGAAGCTCATCTTTTCATGGATGTGACTTCCAGGAGAGGCCCAGGTAGACACAGTTCTCATCTTACTGCTCTGGCCATTGTGTTCCCAGCTGTGTCTGGAAAGCATCGTTCTTGATCCCGAGGTCACTGGAATTATTTTTCTTTCTTTTTTATCCTCATCCAAAGCTCTTTTATCTGTTCCATCCCTCAGCCACACGCGTTTCCAATAGGGGTAAGAGTTCTTGACCTATGGCTGTTTCTCTTGGACCAGTTATACATTATTTGCATTGGTCATAGTTACAGCCTTGGCTTCTCATGTAACCTTGGCTTCACACCTGGACAGCAAAATTCAGAGGGAGCCAAAATGTAAAGCAAAATAATTTTTACAAACTATTATGCAGACATCATTATCACTTTTTTTCTAGAGCGTACTCTTCCTTTTAAATAGGTTATACATCACCTACTAGATGTATACCCTCCCCTGCCCCCACTTATCCAGTTCCTCTTCAGGAGGTAATGACCTTCCCAGTTTCAGTTTTGCGTGTACTCTACACACATCCATGTGTTTATTTTAAGGTCTACCCCTCTAGCAAACATCACCACCGCTGTGACTACCACCATTACCACCTCCTCTCCAGCCACGTGGTTAGCTTGCTTTTGCCCCAGGAGAGTCAGACATCTGAGAGCAGATAGCCCCACGTCTCTCTATTAGGCATCCCTATTTGTCTGTAGGGATGCCCTCTCTCCATCTCCTCCTCTCCTCTCCTTTTCCCCTTTATATGAGCACTTTCTTTAGGAAGTAGATGCTTTGGCACTTAATCCCACCCAGCCAAGCATCAGTGACACCTACAAGACGATGATTATCTCTTGGTAAAATGTCCCATCTTCTTAGTTGATTTCTTAGCCTGTGTTCTTGGTGTACATACATCGGAGGCTATAGGACAGAACTTATAAAACACAGTGCGCATAAGATTCTTAGAGCACGCTATAAAATGTAGGTTCCTGGGTCCCACAATCAGAGATTCAGAAGGTCGGCACTGAGACCAGGCGGCCATTTCTCACCAGGACTAATTCCCCCAAGGTGATCTTCCTATGTGGTTCCTGGATCGAACTTTAAGACCTGCTGCCCTCAGTATTGTTCCTGACTCCTCTCCTCTCCTATAGGAGAATCTTCTATTGAGGATTATTGAGGGTTTCCTTTATCACTGCTGATTTCTCAAAGCCGTGACCTCTGTATAACCCTTCTCCATTGCCTGTTGTTTTTCTCTTTCTCTTTATGTTGTTGGTCATATGAACCTTGAGGGTGTGGTCGGGAAGCTTGACAAACCCATTTTCCCTGGTTTTGTAAAATGACACCACCCCTTTCAGGGAAGGCCATTGCTTAAACACAGTCCGCCACAGTACAGCAGGCCAACTTTCTTCTTTCACATTTACCACCATTTCTCCTCACTTCTAAAGCCACAGCCAGCTAGTGATGGGAACATCCTCAATGCTTTCAGTTTCCAGAGCAGGATCTCAAAGTCTCCAGACTTATATTTCTGGTTTTCGGCGTATCTATATGGTGGTCCGTGGCCCCATCACGGTCTCTTTGGTCCTCTGTCATATCTATAGCATGTGTGCCAGAAAAAGGGTTTTTGAAACTCAGGTCTGTGTATCCTTGAGGCTTCACTCAAGTGTTCCTGAAGACCTGAGTGCCCTCTGAGATCATCGCTGACTGTTATCTGTCATTTCTATGATCATGTTAAAATATACTCATAATCTGGATCATTTGGCTGACTCCCTTATAACAGAGGGCTGCTACATGATTGCGGTTCCCTCACTGAAATCTCTGCTTCCTGACAAGCGGGCATCAAGTGACCAGCCAAAGGGACAGCATTTAACTTTCAATGTGTTGTCAAGTACATTGGCAGTCATTACACTGGCTTGGCTTTCCAGCTCAGACTGGAAGGCTGAGTCCTTGCTGGGGCTGACGGAGGAGAGGGTGGGGGACTCGGGTTCTGGCCCCTGATGCCTTTTTGGCTCCACCAGCTCCCTTACTCTACGAATAAGGCCCTCCCTTAAGGGCCTTTGAACTGGCTATTCCCTCTGCCCAGATTCTTGCCCCAGATATCTGGGTGAATAACTCCCTCATCTCTTTCAGGCCTTTGCTGAAGTGTTTGCTTAAGTCATTAAATTCCTCAATACTATTTAAAATTGCAACTCCTCACCCCACCTCCATTATTCTCCCGAGCACCCTTAACCCCGGTGTCTTAACATACAATATGACTCATTTATTCATAATGTTTGTTGTTCATTGTCTGGCTTGTCCTGTTAGAATGCATATGTCCACAAGAGCAGAGATTGTTGTTTCTTTTGTTCATGGATGTCACCCAACCACTTAGGGCACCGCCTGGCACACAGTAGGTGTTTAATAAATACCTGATGAATGAGCACCTCATGGCTGCTTTTGTGCTCATGCTAAATTTGTTCATCAGTTTTACAGACACAACTCTTTGGCAGTGATCATTTGCAATGGAAAGACATATTTTAATGGAGAAAACTTTAGGCTTAAAAATGTGTATTCCTCTAAGTCAGTAGTTCTCAACCTTGGCTGCACATTAGAATCACCTGGGAATCTTTTTTTTTAAAATATATTTTTATTGATTTCAGAGAGGAAGGGAGAAGGAGAGAGAGCTAGAAACATCAATGATGAGAGAGAATCACTAATTGGTTGCTTCCTGCATGCCCCCCACTGGGAAGGCAGCTATGCTCACCACTATACCACCAACACCTTCAATGCCCCCCACTGGGGATCGAGCCCTCAACCGAGGCAGGTGCCCTTGGCTGGAATCGAACCTGGGACCCTTCAGTCCGCAGGCTGACGCTCTATCCACTGAGCCAAGCCAACCAGGGCATCACCTGGGAATCTTTTTAAAATCCTGATTTCTGGGCCTCATTCCGGAGGAATGAGGAAGTTGCCAATGCTCAAATATTATGGACCTACCAAATGGCAATTTTATGTGGTTGAACCTAGTAATTCACACAGTTGAAGCCATACTGTGCAAGTAATTTTTCCTCACATTCTTTTCACTTGTCATTATAACAGCACCACTTGCCCACGTAGTCAGGGATGCGTGGGCCCTTTTTGTGAGCTTGCATTAACAGCACAAATAATTGATGAGCATTAGCATCTCAGCCGGGAGCCCTGCCCCGTAAATCATTCAAACAGTCCACCCAGTGACCAGACTTCCTGCGTCTTGATGTGAATGACAATCCTCAGTGATTCTTCCGGGAAACTCTCCCTATAAGTGCCCCCAGCCAATTGCCTGCGTGCAGCACTCTGGCACCAGATTTCTGCCCAAATGGCAGCTTCTGGGAACGCTGCTAATAACTGTGTCCAGTTGCTCGCCTGTCGTTCCTCTCACTCGAATGAATCTGGTCCATTACCAGTGATGCATATTGGGTTTGTGGAATTTCTTCCTTTTCAGGGAAAAGGCTCTCATTGGCTTCCTGCATTTGTTGTTATTGTTTAGCGATTTCTGGACCAGGTACAGTCTACTAGCACTATTTTAAAAAGAGCTTTTTTTTAAAAAAAAACAAAACAAAAAACAAAAGCTTCCCAGCAGTACGAAGGCTGCTTTTAGGGCCCTGGCTTTCTCTTGGCGAACATCATCAGAACTACCAGCTCTGTTACTTTTCATCATAGCAAAGTCCTGAGGAGTCCATGGACCATGTGATTCCATTATGTTATGATTCTGCCTCCAAAGTGATTGCCAGGAACAGTAATCTATGTGGGTCTCTCTGGCTCATTATCTGAGACTTGGTAGATCCCTATTCTCCACTGGCCCTCTATTTGCTCTAGATATAGCTGAGTTCACCCACATAGACTAGGAAGATTAAGTGCCTATCTAATAACCCCATTTGCATAAGGTTTGGGAGCTTATGATATAAGGTCAACTGTGATTGCTGATAATAACATCGTGTCACTCCAGGGGCAAGGATCTGAAAGGATGAACTTTGTCACTTTTGCTCCAAGAATAATACAGTGACAGGGGACTAGAATGTTTAAAGGTAATCGTGGCCTGCAAACACATCAAAGGATAGAGGAAATAAGGCAAAAAACCACACAAAATGGAATAATAGAATAATATGTGGTTTCTTTTATGATCAATATATGGTAAGCTACTACACAGAGGGGTAGTATTATAAAACCTAACACCCTGGCTTTGAGGTCAGACCAACTGGTGTTCAGATCCTGGCCCCGTTTCTTACCAGCTGTGAAAAGCTCCTGAATGTTTCTCTTCTGTAAAACTGACCTAAAGACACCCACCCTGTAGAGTGACTATAAGGATTAAAGACAACACAGGAGTAAAGTATTGATCACACTTGCACTCAATATTAGTGGTTATTATTATTATTATTTGACGTACACAAAACTTTAAGAATTTCTAATTTAATCTTTTAAATCTTTATTATGTGCAAACACAACATTGTGACATTAATAGATAAACTTAAAAATCAGACTATTACATATTCCCATATTTCCTCCTAAGTCTTGGCAAATGTGTAGACATCTTTACACAGTGCATTTGTGTTTTCAGCCTTTTTCACTTGAGATTGTACAGTAAGTTATCCCCTGTTGCAACACGATCTAATTTAGTGTAAAATAGTTATTATTTCAACAAATATGTCATAACCTAATTAACCATTCTTCTGTTTTCAGACACTTATTTGTTTCCAATTTGAGGGATATTCTTTCCCTTGGTTCCTGTTTCCGTTGTGGCGATTGGAAACGCACGATTTTATAAATATTTTGGGTTTTTCCTTAGGTGAACGTACATTTTTTAGCTCGAATTTGAGAACATCCTTTAAACTAATGGCTGTTGACTGTGGGGAAAGAAAAGGTAGTTTCAGCCTAATTTCTTGTGGAAGGCAAGTTAAGATGCCTCCAAGAAATCCCATGTCCACTAGTGCAGTTTTGTTCTCATCTCAGCATTTGGCAAACTGGTCTGAGGATGAGGGATAATTGAGGTAGGCACTCAAGAAATGGATCTTTAAAGTGGGCTAACCATGCTCACGTTCTTAATTTCATTCAATCCCACGCGCAGGCCAGATCCAGAAGGTAGATACTCGTATTGTTTGAGGCACAGAGAGGGTAAGGAGCATGCACCAGATCACACAGCGGCTGGGAGAGGACAGAGAACGTCTTTCACAGACCATACATTCCCAGCTTTCCCACTGAGCTTTGAAAAAAATGTCCCGACACCACCACACCCTCAGCTAAGAGTGGGTGGGAACGGAGAGGGGCTGAGCACTGGGCCGTCCCCTGCCCCGCCAGGAGGCTCCTCCTCCCGGGCGCTCAGGCCCAACTGGGTTCCGAGCATGCCCAGTGCGCTCCCCGTCGGTCCCATGGTGCCTGCTGGGCGCCGCAGCTCCAGGTTTTTTGGGCGACCGGAGGTTGGTGCGGGGCGGGGCAGGGCGTGGGGCGGGTCCTGTTCCTGGGTCTCCCTGGCTCAGTCGTAGTTCCCCCGAGGCCACTCTCCAGCGGTGTCCACAGCAGTGGCGCTGCTCCGGGACAAGGGTCGAAGTGAGGTACCAGGTGCTGCCCTCTGCCACCCTATGGCCCTAGGCTTACCGTCCCCCTGGACCTCAGGCATCGGGTCCGGACAGGATGGTTCCAGCCATCACTACACGCCTTCATTTACATATTTATTCAACAAATAGTTTTTGAGCTCCTACTGTGTGCTGGGCGCTATTATAGTGTCTGAGACACTGCAGCCAAGACAGGCAGCCCTGCAGTCCCAGAGCTGAAATTCCCGGAGGTGAATAATACACAACGAGAATAAGCTAATTAGAGGAAATCAGTCATTGACCTCATCTCCTGCTACTCTGCGTGCCTTGTCATTGCCTAATCAGTCCTGCGCCTTAGGGTCTTTGCACTGGCTGTTCCCGCTGCCAGTTGATCTGCACGGCTGAAATGTCACCTGATCTGACTACCTCATTGAAAATTGCACTCCCTCCACCTCCAATTCTCCTCATCCTGTTCTTTTCCCCTGGTAGAACTTATCACCTTCAAATATACTATATGCTTGTATGTTTATTGTCTGTCACCTGCCTATCCTTCCCCCTCGCCGCGACCCCCCCCCCCCCCCTCCATTCCCCAACTCCATCAGAGGACAGGATTTTTGACTATTTGGTCACCACGCATGAAGAACCAGAATAGATGACTAATAACTATTTGTTGAATGAATTAATGGATAAATTGTGATACATGTGAAGTAACGAAAGCGAGGACATGGGAAGTAGAACAGCAGGGAGCTAATTTGGTAAGGTGGTCAGGGAAGGTCTCTCCCAGAAGTTCACTTGTACAATGAAAAGGTGCCGGCCACGAAAGGCTGGGCAGAGAGGGAAAGGCCTGCGGAGGCTGGCCAAGCCCTGAGTGTGTGCCGGATAGAAAGGAGCACCTGGGCTGCAGGAAGGCAGGTGTGCGATGAGGTGGAAGAGATGAGGCAGGGGCCCCGCAAATCTTGGGAAGGAGGTTTAAGCTTACTAGTGGACGGGGATGAGCACTGGACAGCAGGACCCTCTGGACAAGACGACTCCTCATTCCACAGGTTTGTTGAGCCGACTGCTTGACATTCCTAGGTATGAAATCACTCAGGGCCGGGCACGTAGTAGGTGCCCAATGCATGGTTATGGGACGAATGTCTGCGTGCATGCGCCAGGGGACTCCGGGCTGCCCGGAACCCGGCAGCAGAGCCCGCGTGGCTGGGAGGCGCGTCCCGGCGAGACTGCCCCGGGCGGGGGCGGGGGCGGGGACGCCCCGCAGGGCAGCCCGGTGCCGGGCGCCCGCCCCCCGCCCCGCGCGCGGGCCCGTCGCGGCCAGCAGGACCGGCGGGAGCCGCCCGCGGGCGGCACTGGGCATGCTCAGACGGCGTCCAGGTCGCGCCGCGAGCGAGCGAGCTTCCGCGCCGCCCGCAAGCGCGACCTACCTGGGCGCCTGGCCCCCCCGGATGCTGCAGGTACGGCCCGGCGCGACCCCAGCGGGCCCGGGGCAGGGCGCGGGGCGACCGGGGCCGGGGTAGCGATCGGCGCCGCCCCGCCCCCACCGTTCCCAGGCGCGCGGCGAACGCGCGGGCGGGCGGGCGGACGGGGCAGCTCCGGGGTCCCGGCGCCACGTCGGGGCGGGGAGGGGGCGCCCCCGCCGCGTTCACCTGGCCGGGCTGGGGCGGGAGGGAGCCGGCCGGCCGGGTGGGGCTCGCTCCGGGCGGGCGCCGGGACGCGGCGGCGGCGGCGCGTGGGCGTGGGCGTGCGCTCCGACCCGGACAGGGGCGGACACGGCCGGCGGCACGGGAGGGCCCTGCGGCGCCGCGACCCAGGCCCTGGTTGCCTAGGGGGCGCCCAGCCCGTGGGGAGCCAGCCAAACTCGGCGGCCAGACCTTCTGAGCTCCCCGGGCGAATCCGCCTCTCGGCTTTCAAAGATGGCATTTCCTGGGCCTGGCATGAACCCCAGCGCCAGTAAACCCTCCCCGTTCCGCAGGCGACGCGGGATGGTTTACCAGGTACCTGCGCGGAGACAGCTGCAGTGGGGGAGTGTATGTGAGCGCGCAGCCCCCCGCCCCCACCCCCGGAAATTCCCATTTGCAGCAACCTAAACTTACTGAGAAGTTGCGCTTGCCTTAAAAATTCATGGGAAGTTGAGACAACTTGACACCTGGGCTGTCCGAGGCGGTGCAAAGAGCTTGTGACTTGGACACTGGAGACCTCCGGTCAAGTTGGTCTCCCCCTTGGCCAGCTGGTGACCTTGAGCGAGTTGTCCAACCTCTCTGATCTTCAGTTTCCTCCCCTGCAGACAGCCGGTAATAATGCCCACCTCACTGGGCGGGTGGGTGGATTAAGTGGGATAAATTATGTGGAGGTGTTTGGCACTGTGCCCGGCGCAGAGCAAGTGAGCAGTTGGCGTGATGCGAATTTAATTCGTTTAGAGACCCCCGTGGCTCCCATTTCACCAGGAAATTAGAATCAGGGAAGTATCTTCAGGGCCTGGTGGCAGAGTGACAGACCTCGTCTCTGTGCCCTGGAGAACTTCTGCTGAAGTCAAGGGCTTTGGAAAAACAATTTAGCGAATTGTAATCGGAGAGCATCTTCTTTAAAAGCAGTTTCATACATTCAGGAACTCCAGAAGTTGGCAGTTCGGCTGTACTTACAAAAGAGCTGTTTTTTCGAGAGGATCCATTCTGCAAATGCTTAAGCAGATGATGCTTGAAAGTAAAGCCAGGTTAGGAAGATTTCTGTTCTAAAAAGCTTCTAAACTCAGCTTTTGTGATTATTTAGATCAGGGTTCTTAACCTCATGGCTGGGGTTGGTTAATTCTTTGTTTGAGGCCTGTTCTATGCATGGTAGGTTATTGAGCTGCATCTCTCGTCTCTACTCACTAGATTTCAGTAGTAATCCCTCTCCCTCTGTTGTGCCAACCAGAAATGCCACCAGACATGGCCAGATGTCCCCTGGGGGGGCCAATATCCTGTCTCACTTTTTAGAACCACTCCTGCTTTCTGTCATTAGCCTGTTGAAGTTGTCAGAGCATTTCATCTTATGTTTTTCCTATAATAACTAACCTTTGTATAGGCTTATAGAACTGCACAGAGTGTATCCACAATCTCAACTCACTTAATTTTTACAACTCCCCCAGGAGGCTGGTGTCATTCCCATTTTACAGATGAGGAAACTGAGGCTTTGAGCAGCGGATCACACATTCTGTGGTGTAGTTGGGATGTAACTCAGGTTTCCTGATTCCATGGGCAGGTCTTTTTGTTCTGTATCAAGATGCCCTTTATTGTACTGAGATTTTTCAAATAGATAACTTTGCTGATGATTGCATCAAGATGTGAAGTAGATTGGAAGCTGGAAACCTTTCTGAGATTGACTAGTTGAACATTAACAGTAGGCTATTATCTGAGAGAGAGTAGGTCGTTCTAGTTAAATATTCTAGTTTATAGCGAGCTCCCATAAACCCCACGTACAGTTAATGGAATACCAATTTGCAGAGAATTAGAGGAGAATAAAACGTGCCTCGGTACTCTGTATTGATCCTGAGTTGTCTCTGGTGATTTGCTGTCTCTTAAAATGGACTCCTGTATGCAAATTAGACATTAGCTGGGGAATGTAAAAGGTCAAGTTACTGAAGTCATATCTGAGTGGCGGAGGCATTCTGTTCACCAGCATGTATTAGTCAAGCTGCTTCTGTATGGCAGATGCCGTGCCGGGGTTGGGAGATGCAGAGTTGGCCAGTAGACCCCAGTGAATCCAGGGTTTTCAAGGAGAGGCCAGGCCAGATACATAGCAGGCCCACAGGAACAGCTTGGGGCAGGAGAAAGAGCCTAAGTTAACACAGAGTCAAATGCAGGGCCCCGCTCTGCCTCACCACTCCGGTCTCTGAGCCCTCCTTTCTGCATTTTTTCACAGAGAGGCATCCTGGTAGCTTTTCACTTTCTCACTCAAGTGTCAGGACCCTGGTTAGAGACACATCTTATTCCTCACAGGAGTTGGGGTTCCCAGCTGGTAATTGGTCTCAGCAGATTGATTGTGGACTGTGAACGGGGAGAGTTCACATACATTGTTTAATTTCAGTCCTCCCTGTCCCTGTTTTGCAGATAAGGAACCTGTGCTAGCAAAGGTAGTGTGCGTCTAGGAGCAAGAGGGACGAATTTTGACCTTTTGAACCTTCGTTTCAGGCCCATGAAGGATTTCGTTTTCTAAGATGAACAACCCACCAGAGGGGCTCAGCTTTGGGGATTGGAGGGAACAGGAAGACATGGCACCCTACCTCCCCACCCCAGCCCCAGGGCTTGTGGCACGTTGGGAGGGAACCAGCAATGTGTGGAGACTGCCTATTGACCATAATCCCAGTGCTCACCTTCCTTCCGCCAGACAGTGGTTCCTGGACAGCAGGGCCAGTCCCTCTTCATCTCTTCCCAGGGTCTGTTGCAGGGGCTAGAACGCCCAAGGAACTCCGTGCTTGCCATGGCATTGACGGGCTGGTGGGGGCTGGGCAGCCTGCGGGTGTTCTTCCCAAGCCTCAGCTCTTCTTACCAACACTATTAGAGACAGGACAGGACAGGACCTAGTCAGTGTCCATCCTGCTCTGGTTTGGGTCCTGGCATCCGCAGCCTCTGTTCTCACAGGTGTCTCCTTTCATCTGCCTCAGGGGGGACTAAAGGGAGTGCTTGGTAGGCGCCTGGCTGAAATCTGACCTGGTGATGGGTTCCCAACCTAGAGATTTGCATCACACAGCTTCCAGTTGTGCCTCCAGTGAAGACCAGCTGTGAGCACAGATTTAACAGCAAATTCAGACATTTATTGAGTCTACTGGAGGCCTGATGCATGAAATTCGTGTAAGGGGCTCGGCCCCCGCCACGGTGGTGGCTAGCTACCTCAGACCCCGCCACCACAACGGCTGCTTCGCCCCTTGAAGCCCCAGCTTCGTCTGGAAGGTCACCCGGAAGGACGTCCAGTCTAATTAGCATATTACACTTTTATTATTATAGATAGTATATGCCGGGCAATAGGGTTACAGAGATGAAATTTGAACCCCTGTTTTGGAAGGACTCATGGTGGAGTTGGGAAGACTGACCTGTGTGCTGTCTGTCTGTCTGTCTGTCTATCTATCTATCTATCTGATAACTACTTTACAAGAGGGTAAATCAAATGCAAAGAGACCAGTGGAGGCGGCCACTCATTCTGATGGGCATCAGGGAACATCATAGGGAGTCGCTGGCATTTGAATTCAGCCTTGAAGGTAGAAAAAGATGGTACTCAGGGGGCAGACAGAACAGCAGATGTAAAGACTCAGAGGCATGAAGAGACCTTGTGTGTCTCAGGAGTGGTGACTCTTCCCCTTCTGAGCGTGCTTATTGCATGACCCACCTTCTGCGGTTAGGGTACTCTCCCATCCCTTTATGGGGCCTGGCTTCACTCCGCCCAGGGCTCAGTGCCCATTCCCCTTCTTTTCCTCGGAGCGGTGCCTCTGGCTTGAGCACCTTCTGCCTGGGATGCCTCTGGTTTTAGTTATTCAATACTGATAGAGCGTTTACTGGCTGCAGGCACTGCTCCTGAGGCTCTCCAAATATTAACTCATTCATTTAATCCTCTGTGAGTAGCAGCCGCTTGGTAGGTAGGTCAGGGCAGAGCTCCTCTCCCCAGCCTGTGCCCCTCTGTGGGTGTTGCTCCGATTGTGGTACACCTTCTCATGGCTCACTTCATTGTTGTGCCAGAAAACAGAGAGTTGAGAGCGAGTGCTGATGGCCGCAGATTTTTATCCCTGACCCCGTGTCCTTCAGGGGACCAGCAGGGCTCCCTGACTACATTTTCTGAACTAAGATTGGGAACTGTAGTCTGAAAAAGAATGTTTGTGCGGCTTTTTTGTGAAAGAGGAGGGAGGCCTGGGAGGTGTTGTTTGGATACTGAGAGAGTGGAATTTTTGAGACATTTTGATGGTTTATGTGGAAAGTTAGGACAGAGGATTTGAAATTGGAATAGCCCTGGAAAATTCAGGTCCTATGATTTACTGTCAGGATACACAAGCTTTTAGTAAATATTTAAGCACTGTGTAGCTTGGAGTGAATTTTTTGTACTTTTTTTGTACTGAGCCCATTGGTGCCTCAAAAGGAGGGTAAACAGTACCTTTTAGTCCCAGAATCTTGCAAATTCCCACAAGCCCCAGTTTACAGATGGGGTGAGAAAACTGGGGCTCAGAGAGAGGATGTCACTACCCAAAGGGCACATTGCTGGTAAGTAGGACATCCAGATTTGAACCCAGGTCTGTCCCTAGATAAGTCCTTTAACTGTGAAATGAGGGTTATAGGACTTATGTCCT